GTCGACCGTATGGGTATTTCAAGATGAACCAAATCCAACAAAAGCTGTCCGCGCACCGAGCACTTCCGAGCAATTGGTTTCCTGTTTCTTTGGAAAACCTGGACATGACGGAACCGTGCCACTAGGACAAGCAGAACAGTCAATTCTGAGTAGTATACCACCATTTGTTTGCCAGTTGACTTCCAAAAAATCAGGAAAACCAACTGCGGAAGACGGATCACTCTTCACCACGACAGTGCGAGCTCCCACACATCGGCTCAAACAATTGCATTTTTGAGCACTCAAAACAACGATTTGGCAGGTCATCAGCCATGTAGTCTCCGAGCGACTTCTTCTCATCCCTTACGTAAAAAATAAAATGAGAGGTCAACGTTTTCGGCACCTGAAGAAGCCGTTGGTGCGTTCAGAATCCATGTTTTAGAGTTACCTACATCAGAGTGGCAGAAGTGCTTCGAAAATTGGTTCGAGCCCATGCAAAAGTGTATAGATCTTAATGTGGAGAATTTTGAAAGGCTATAAAGCGATTTTCAATACATAGTATTTATTTCTGTTCTCGAATCTCAAAATACAAAAGGCAACCTACGTACATGGTCTACCTAGCATCGCTATGACGGATCACCAGCCTTTAACTGCACTTTGCAAGCGTACTAATGTGTCCCACGAGTTCTCAGATGGTCACTCGAACTGCAAAGGTGTAATCTTGAGATCCGCTACGTAAATGGAAAGGCAAACGTGGTGGCAGAAGCCCTCAGCAGGAGCGTACCGACAGCGATGGAGTTGAAGTCGCTCGAGGGAGAAAATGAGACTACAGTCGAAGACAAATCAGAATGGATGAAAGAATTGAGGAAAGATCCATAACTAGGAGAACTAATTGGTGTGATAGAAAAGGAGGAAATGGGAATGGCAGGTGAAAAGTATCCCCTAAAAGTGGCAGACTTCGCGTTAGAAGGCAAAGGATTGAAAAGGTTCTTAGGATGCGGTAGGGCTGTAGAAGTGGTTCTGAGCCGTATCGTTATGAAATCTTCGAGAAAGCGCACAGCGGTGTCTTTGCGGGCCACTTCAGTGCTGAGCAGATTGTGAAAACTTCAACCAAACGAGTGCACTGGCCAGGGATGGCGCAGGATATCCATGGGTGGATCAATGTCAAAAGTGCTTCGCACATAATCCGCAAGAAAAGTTGGTCCCACCTCTTGAGCCAACTGCAACTTCGAGACCCTATGAGATTATATAAGTAGATGTACTGGAATTGGGCCAAACGTCAAAAGGGAAATAGATATGCAGTGACCGCAATTGACCTTTCACGAAGTATGCCGCAGCGTATCCAGTACCGAATAAATCTGCAGAGACGATAGCAAGAACGCTTCTCATTAGATGGATTGCAGAGGGTTGCAGATGGCACCAAACCACATCACCACAAAAGGGTATAACCTTAGAGAGAATGGACTAACAGGAAGGTTGAACAGAACAATCGTTGCTATGTTCCGCAAAAGCACGGTTGTTCCAGTGGGATTCAAGGTTACCTGTCTGTAGAATGGCGTACAATATGATCTCTCATCGCGCAACCGGTGGAAGTCTATATTTTCTTGTGCGCGAGATTGATCCGGTATTCCCGTCAGAAATCATACCAAACGCAGGTATAAGTCGATACATGGGGACAAATCGCTAAGCGAGTAAAAATCGAAATACTTCAAGTTATAGCAGAGGTACAAGAAGGTGTGAGGGAATATAACGGGAGCGTAAGAGAGAAAATGAAAAGGCACATGACAAAGCAAATAAGGTAAAAGATAAGAGATACACGAAAGTAGAAGAATTTGTGTGGGGTCGCCGAATGAGAAAGCATGAGAACACATCCAAAGTTAGTAGGTAATTGGACAGGACCGTGTAGAGTCATTGAAGTAAGCGATAACTCAGCCTTGGTAACGAGAATCGGTCGAATAGCGAACCCATTCGAATACTATTCGACTCGTTAAGAATCGTCCCTAGAGAAATTTCGGACGGGCCTGTAGAATCAGCACATGTCAGAGGTCGCAAGGGCAGACCGCTTAGGGTGAAAGTTCGGAGAGCTTATAGTGACTGTTCCAGAGGGGCAGTGCTTCTGAGCCCCGCAGACAAGGGCCAATTCTGTTAAAAGTCATCGGTATAAAAATAAGCAAACTTTTCATAGCTGGATATACAGTTAATCTAAGCTCATCGAACTCTGCACAGGGTGCAAGGTGGTGCTACAAAGGATGGAAGGAACTTCTTATTCGAAAAATCCCGACTTTAATGGCACGCTTCGCGATAATTCTATGGTATCTCGTTTTAAACGAAAAATGGAAGAGAGAGCTCGGGTAAAGTGCAACAGTGGCAAAAAATGCGGAGGTCGGCGTATTCAGGGCATAATAAGGCTTTATAAGTGTAGTAAAACTAGGGGTTGGGCGAGAATTTGACGACAAAAGTCGCATAGGTGGACAGTTGGACGAGCTCTCCAATTATGCGTGCCATTCCGTATAGCTTGCCACAGTAGGCTGCCTGTATGCAATGAGTGCGTCCCGGTGCGACTGCTGCAACCTCTAGAGCCTCCGGAACACCGCAAGAAATGGTCCCTTTGAGCGTGTACATTGGTTGAGCCGGTTTTGTGGCCCATATTACGCCCCGTCCAAGCCGTTTTTCCACTCGACAGCGTCTCTTGCGCTATCCCTGAGAGTCACAGGTTCATCCCTTGCAGGAATCTCAGAAAACAGGTTTATCGTAAAAATGATAGAAATTTCGATGATTTTCAATTTTCAGCTGTTCATGCATTCATTTTCAAAAACATAAATAATAAACAAAATATCGGCCTTCAACAATCCTAGAATAAGTAGCGTTTTCTCATCCGAATTATTAGAGCAGTACTAGATCCTGTTCTCCCTGCACCGAAAAACCTTAAGCCTGGACTTCTATTGACCCTCATAGCAGCACGGAATATTCCGATATGGAAGAACCAACACATCTTATAGAATTCTATGGATGAGAAATGGCCACAGATGTCATTTCGGAGGCCCATCCATATAAGTAAAAAGAAAATGAGATATCACTGACGACCAGGTTGGATGTAGATTAGTTTGCTTCGATATTCGTCCTCCACTGCCTTACGTCTCTTATCCATGTGATCATTTAGCTGTTTTGCTGACGATATGAGATCTGGTTCATGGTCCCAACGAAAATCTCCTTGAATATTGATCGTATTTTTTATATTTTTTACTTTTCACAATCTAAGAAAGAGAAAAATCCAGGATCTACTCGAAGGAGGTTAGTTGAAGGCAACTGCCTAAGTCATTCAGAAATCCTCTTTCTCTCATCATCTCTTCCCACCCCCTCAAAAGTTGGTCACCTGTATGATAACCGGACAACCTACATAACCCTCATCCTGACCGAGAGAAAAAACGAACATTCCCAAGAGTTTGGCGGGGCGGGTCGGAGAGAGAGGAGAGGGGCAAGAGAGTGAATAGATTAAGGGTAGGTCTGATCGAGAGCATGGTGTCAGGAGAACACAATTGGGGGTTCGAGCTCCATCGAAGTTCGAACTGTTGGCCACAAATCAAAATTCTTCTGAAAGGAGAAGAGAGGAGGAAGTTCATTCAATTTTCACTTCTTTAACCCTCCTTTTACTATGAGTCCTACCTGATTGGTGTAAAGAAGTGGGAGGGAGATCCTTAGCGAACTTACCCATTCGGCATTCCTCTGTATCTAGTGGTGTTCGCAACGTACTGATCCATGGCCAATATGGTGGGCCATCAAGTTTCCTATAAAACTTACCAATTTCCACCTCATTTTCGAAATGCGGCTTCGATGGAAAGGTTACCCTTTTTCGTCGGGAGAAAACTTCTTTTTGTGTTCCTCCTTCATGGCATGAAACATGAAGTCCCTGTCAGGACTCCAGTGACTGTTGGTCAGCCAAGCATCTCGTGCCCATCCTTCTCCCTGAACTCATATAGTCGCATCTCTTTTAATATTTTTCATTATTTTCAATTATTTTGCCTGCATGCATGGATATCTCTTTTATGGTATTACCATGCGAGCAAGTGACCTGAATTCCTCAATCAAAGAAGCTACTGGAGAGGCCGTGATGCCGAGGGCTAGTGAAAAAGGATAAGTAGGAAATTGGTGGATCCAAGATGAACGGGCCGCTACAGATGGCAGTACCACACTGTCCATGGAGAATGGTAGGAATACATAGCCATAGGAACAGCAACGTTCCGTTGCTTGCCGCTGCCGGAGCCCAGGTTCGGCGTACCGTATTTGATAGGTATGCGTCGAGCTTGCTCCTTATTACAGGGACCTTAAAATCTTGCAGGGGGCACTACATCGCTACAGAGAACATTGTCGAGGGCTTGACTCACGAATCTAGCCTTGTTCAGCTACCAACACACCCCATCGTCTCACTTGTTAGTTGAAGTAGACAGGACTTGAAGTAGACAAAACTTATTTGGGTAAGGAGTATAAACCATTCTAGCATGAAAATCTATTTGGGGTTGGAAAGCGTTTGATGCGTCCCTGTGCGCTCTTCCAGTCTGTCAGTTCTTCTTCCATTCTAACTTTTTGTATGCGACCAGTATACCAGCAACACCTATGCTCTTTGCTTACGCATAAGCAAAAACCCATTTCTGTCTTAGTATCGTTCGCGAGCATAACCGCACGCCCGCAAATCTGGTGCCTCATTGAAGCACCCGAGTGTAGTGTGTTACTACACGAACTCGACAACAGTTGGCAACGGTTTCAAAGTGTTTATCGTATCCCTCCACTAAGAACTTGAAACCTCCCCTTGATAGTGGGCAAATGCGAGCGGTTGAGCGTGGCACGCCGTTCGCATGGTAGATACCGCACCCTTCTCCCGCGGGGGACGGAACTTACGTGCGTCCGAGGATGCGCGCGGCAAATAGCGCGGCGAGGTGCGTGGCGATTCGAACGACTCTAGCGTCTATTATTGGTGTCCAAATTTGAAGTAGAGTAGATTAGTAGTATCAGATAACCCTACTAATCTACTCTACTTCAAATTTGGGCCCCAATTGTAGGCGCCAGAGTCGTTCGAATCACCACGCGCTTCGCCGCACAATTGGCCGCGCGCATCCTCGGACGCACGTATGTACCCATACCCTTCTCCCGCAAGCCACATAATACCGTATTGAATAAGACGAGGCATTTGAAGACCTCACCGTCGATTAATCTTTTTGTAGAAAAAACAACTTATAAGAAAATTACCTTTCCGTAGATCACTACATTTTTGGCTGTAGAATTCTTTAAGATTTCTCTGCAGCACAATGTGTATCGTGTAAGAGTTTCGAAATTCGTAGTGTTTCGCCAAAGCTCCCAACACCTTGGTATAAGAGTAGCATTGGGAGCAAGTTGTTCCACCATAAACATCTGTAATAGTAATCTTTGTAAGAGTAGAAGATAATGGTAGCATCTCTCTATATACATATGTACGGTGCGTTTCAGTAGTATACGTCCAACCTTCATCTCAACAAAAACTTTTCTTGAAGGGGTGATCCAAATTAAAAGCATGCATAAGGGAATACAACGGGAAATAGGTTTTCAGATTTACAAGTTCACAATTAAATGTTTTATAAGTATTTTTTCAAATTTCGACCGTTCCATAGTACACGCCCACTTTAAAAAGCAGTCTATTTATGCAAACTCAAAAGTGTACTTTATGAAAATTAATTATCAATTGGTGCACCCTCTTTGCATGAAAGCTCCATAGGTCGATTCGGCATACTCATTGTTAAGTTCCTAGGAATAAAGGGTCGATGTTTCTTCACGCCTCCATGACCGCAGTTCGCAGCTCGTCGATGGTAAAAAACTGCTGTTTTTAGCGTACAATTATTCCCCAAGGTGCTCCATGGGGTTCAGATCAGGACTGCACGCTGGCCACTCCATAACATCAGCATTCTGTCGCTGTAACCATGCGGATGTTGACTTGATGGTACGGACACTCGCGTTGTTCTTCTGGAAGACCAGAATTTGTTGTCGCCTGCGCACAGGGAAGGCAATATTTCGGATTCCAAAACCTGCTGTAATCCTGCGTGTCCACTCCACAAAGCGAGACCCAGTTTGCTATCCCAGCAACAGGCTCATCGGGCCATCAGCGAATCGCCACCTGAGCTGAGTTGGACTTGGTCCACCCAGGTTCAACTTCTACTCGTCGGAAAAGATTACTTGAAGAATTCAAATTGCTTTACAGTGTACGAGCTACGCTCGCTTCACGACTGCTCCTGTTTCCAATCCGTGGTCGCATTCTTTCGGGCAAAATCGAGGCGAGCCATCTTGTGTAAGTTGGTCAGGTGTGACGCCCTCCTCATAACGTCTCTTACAATGTTGCCGCTGCTGTTACAATGAAGAATGCGTTTGATAGCTCTCCAAAAGGTCGTTTGACCCAGGGAGTTTCAAGACTGCACGGGTATAGTTGACGCTGTTGGTGCTGTTCCAAGATCTCCTCCATATTCCTCGTTCCTCTGCTGGACAACTTGCTTGATGTCCTCGGACACCTCAGCTATCGTAGGATCTCTGAGGTAGGAGCAAACAACACAGTGAGTACTATTTTGCTAACAATGCGTCGATTGCTGAGTCCGGCTTTATGAAGAGCTCGAACCTGGGTCTTTTCTTCTGCAGAAAGATGGAGGACCACGCGGCATCGCAAGAAGAAAAATCCCGTTGGATTTTGGTACAGACATATACCCCGGTTGAAACAGGAAAAATTTTCTCGAGTCATATACCAGGAAAGGACGTACACATATTACGAAATGGTCGAAATTCAGAAAAATGACTCTGGAAAATTTTCTTTTTGACTTTTCTGTTTGAAAAGATAAGTCACGAATCCGATAATGTGGGCTTCTAAATCGCGCCTATTCTTCTAGGAATTTTTTCGTCAAAATGATGGGTGGACGTATACCACTGAAATGCATGAAATGCACTGAATAAAGCGGTAACTTTGTGCGTCTGTTTGTATGTCCGTCTGTGCGTCCTTCCGAAAGTCACGTAGGCACGATAATAAGTGCGAATATTCGTGAGCGCGGTGAGGAAACAGTTATGAAATAGGAAGTCAACCAATGCTGTTTATACTGGTTCTCTAACAAATCGTAGGTAAGCGGTAGTGGGCATGTGGTGCAAGCGTTAGCGTGCATACTCCAACTGGTAATGAAATATATGACCTTAATAAGTGGTAACATCGTACAGAACGGCACAGGAATTTGAAACTGTAGGCATCCACAGCTATGACTTTACGGTAAGTGGTGCACTTTCCATCCGAGCAGTCATAGACCTAGAATTCTTTCCCTATTGGGTCTGGATATGGTAGGGCGGATGTGGTGTAGCGACACGGTCAACACATATGCCTGGTCACGATTCGAATGATCGATATCCGCCAAGGCCAACCATGCCTTCCATCCCTCCGGGGTCGGATGACTGGTACCATACTTGTCCGGGAGGACAAAAGCACTGACTTGCACATCGGCTTGCCACCTCAAGACGTTGTATGGTCCACATACGCGTTCAATATGCCACTAGGATTCTGAATGGAAGTCGAATGCGTGGGCGCATCCCTCAGACGGGCTTGATTAACGCCCTAAGACTTTGTCCTTCAAATTTTACTATAAGCATTTTCTACTTTAATGTGGCCTAACGACATCGAAAGTATGACGTCAAACGTAAAATCCATTCGTTCATTTCTGCTCACTGCGCTCTTAGCTCTCGGCTTCGACTTCGCCATCGGCCTTTCATAGCCCAGAGGTGATACGGGTAATCCTAGAAGCCCAGGATTGATGGATTTATAGTCGTCGGTTACTGTACTGCTACCCACACCGCAGTATGTATTATGATACAGTTCAGGGCAATTTGATGGGCTACCACTCAGAATGGGTTCATATCGAAGACTAAAGTCAATGAGTTCAATTCACCAAATAACTGTAGATGATCACTCACATGTATAGCACCATTGTCTAGTCCATGGAAATTCTTCGGAAGACGTTTTTCATAATCTGCCCAGCCATGAAGAAATTTAATTGCATATTCGGATTTTTTAACCAAGTAAGTGCCTGTTTATGATAGTTATGTGGCCAACTTAGTAGTACCTGGAAGGCTATGCTATTCGCAGCATCTTTTCGTAATACCTGCCATTATTTCGAAGTTGAAAAATCTGTCGTAGAACATAATGTCAGCCTCGTCTCGTATATATTTTTCTATTCTCCTGAAATATTTGTTATACGACAAACGTTTTTGAAGGCACATTTTACGATAATTCTGAGATACCCTCTTTATATGTAAAATCGGAAGTATTGGATGAGAATAGTACATCGATGGTTTAAAAAAAACGAGTAAATCCGCCGATTTGCGAGAAAAGGGCTCTCTAGAAGAAGCGAAATTGGAGGTTGTACGAGATCACCATGACGGAAATGACATGGAAGAGATATTTGGTCGAGATTTCACTTGTTGCAATTGCGCCATTTGCTACATCACGCCAAAACGGCTCAAATTGCCTTCACCTATCGCTATCGCCATGAAAAGTTGTTTGAAGTTTCTACATAAGTTCTCTTTAATGGTGCAGCCTCTACAATGCCGTTGAAACTCGTCCGCGCATACACACGGAACAATCTTTGAGCCTTTATAACGCCCCATCTAAGCCGTTTTGCCCTGGCAGCGGCACCTGTGGCATACGACGGACCACAGATTTATTCTAGCAGGATATATCACAAGCCATTTTTATCGTGTAGAGTGCCAATAGCAAAATACGATACCGTATCCTCAATTTTTTCACATTTTAACCCATGGGGGGATAAGAAAATTTGCCATCTTTTCCCATCTTCTCCCTTTTTCGCCAAGTGAAAGAAGTGAGTGAAGAGAACGATCCCGTATTCACTCTCTGTACCATGCGTGGGTGATAGCGAGTTACTTCCTACTGCAGTATATCCACTCATTGTTTGGTTAAATGACGTATTAAAAATGAACTTTCAAGAGAATAACAACTAACACAAAAAAGAAAAAAGGGGAAAAAGTAGTCACAAAGCTAAAAGGGTCGCCAAGCAAAAAATGCTTTGATACAAAAAAAGCAAAGCAAAAAAATAAAGCTAATAAAAAAAAGTAACCAACACTTTTTCATTCACCACACCAGTATCGCTGTCTATGACTAGGATCCAATCAAAGTTGTTTTGTTGTAAAATGTTCGCGACGATACAATGACGTTGAAAGAGGAACTGAAAGCTATTTGAAGTAATTGCATATCCATATATTCCTACAGAATTCCGATCTGACTCTAACAAACGATATTGATTGATATTGATTGCAAGATCACCTCGGTGAAAGAGTGAGGTTTCGAGGTGACCTTTTCCCTCCTTTAGAGGCACAGTTCACGATGATTTTAAGGTACCTTAAATTCGAAAAACGGAAGTATACGTTGGGAATAGTTCATCGATCGCGAAAAAAAGGTGAGAATTTTCCCATTTCAAGAAAAATAGCTCCTCAAAAGTAGGGAAAATAGGGTTGGACGAGATCACCATGACGGAATAAACTCGGAATTGGTATTCGGACGGGATATCAGGTGTTGCAATTGCACAAAAAGCCGACTACATCAAGCCAGAACTGTACAAAACTGTCTTTCACTGTGCTACGGGTCATTGACCTGTTTGAAATTTCTAGATGGGTTCCCTTCTGATGAGTGCGGCCTCTACAAGGCCGGTGAAACTCGTCCGAGGATACACACGGTACAATCTTTGAGTCTTTATAACTCCCTAAGCCGTTTCCCGTCAGATATGATATACGCGGGGGCCTCAGATTCATCCTGTGGGGAAATCTCGGGGAACATTCTTATCGTGAACTGTGTCTTTAACCCTCCCCTACACATCCCTTTTCCCTCCTTCCCTTCCCCGTCACCCTCTCCTGTCTGTTAAGCAAAAAATAAGACTCACCTCGTGATGGTTGCATACTTCTTCATACTTAGTGCTATTCGTCAGTATGAATGTGTAGTTATTTTGAAGTGCATAGCATAAGACAGAATCCAAAGCCGTCTTATATTTCGCCCTTGAAGTACCATTACCAAGAATGGATACTATTGCGATATTTGTTGTTCCCTTATCATATTGATAGATTACCATTCGTGTTACCTGGAATACTTATTTCTTTGAATTATTCAACGATAGGAATTGTCTTTATGTCTTTTCCCGGAAGTGAAAAAAAAGAAAGGAAAAGAAGGAAAGGAAAAATGAAAAAAAGAAAAAAACAAAAATTGTCTTAAATTACTCACGCATCTTCCGGGCCAGTAAAATATTACTAAACCGAACGTCATAACAACGATAACAACAAGTAAACTTCGCATTGTCCTCAACATAGACATTGATCGGAAGAAAAAAAGGAATTTCTAACCGAAGGAAATT